TGAAGGGGCAGGAGTAAAACAATTTGTCCAATCTCATAGCAAAGGCAAACTAGGCGGAGTTTGACGAGTTTGTTTCTTTGGTAAACACGATTCAATTTTTGTAAAAGTCCACATTCTGATATTACCAGTGTGCGGTATACTCAATTACTTACTTAATAGCTTAAAATATTAGGCCATAATGTAATTTAGGTTTGTATTATTTAAAATATATCTGACTCTTTCTGGTCATCAAACAAACGGAATTCTTTTGACGGTCTCATAATTTCCTATTTTTCTTTGTAAGCATCCACACAGACTGCTATCTGATCCCCCCCCACCCCCTCGTAGGCTACTAGTGATCTATTTGTTTTTCAAGTAAATACTGTTTAATACAATATCGCATTGAAAGGAAAGATATCTAGTCATAATTTGGTTGGAGTTCTGTCTTTCACTCTACCAAAACTGTACTATTGTGTTATTGTTTTATTATTTTGTGTGTAATATTCAGCTACTAAATACAAACAGAGTCTTTAAATTCCCCAGAACGACGCCAGACGTCGCTGTCACCATAATGAAAACTGATAGTTTCCAATAGAACGTGCCCACCTGATTCCTATAGACGGATAATTCACACGATCCATATCGGTCCATATCTGGTGTAAGTATTATACTTTAATTGTGTGTGTGTGTGTGTGTGTGTACGTACAGGTTTATATATCCTGGTGGGGACTTAAACCTGAATACTGTACACACAGACTCATGGGGTCTAGGTGGGGACCTACACTTTGTACAAAAGCTTATAAATCATACAGAATGTTTTTTTGTTTTTTTTGAGGAAGTAAAAATGCTGAAATTCTGGCGACAGAGAATACGGTTTGTACAGTATAAAAACCATTACGCCTATGGAGAGTCCCTACAAGGATAGCTAACCAGACCGTGTGTGTGTGTGCCATAATTATTGAAAAGCCTCTTACAAACACTAGTGAAACGAAAAGCATCGATAAACCTTCGTGAAATTCTTTCATATGCATTACTGAAAACCTCTTACAAACACTAGTGAAATGAAAAACATTGATCAACCTTAGTGAAATTCATTCATACACATTACTGAAAACCTCTTTATTATCGTGTGTGTGTGCGCGCGCGCGCGCGCGCGTTAATTGTAATTTTTAAAACAACGATTAATTAAAATGTCTGATTATAATTCAGTAGACCTAATTCAACAAATGAAACCTTTCTCTTTTCAATTGACTATAATAAGCAATTGGCCAAATTTCGAAGCAGACATTTTCATTTATTTGTAAAAGAAAGAAAGAGATGAAGCTGCATTTCCACAAGGTTGTGTGTAATTTTCCTTAGCATTCAGTAAAAGAAACTTCACAGAAGTTTGGTCAGTGGCATCATGTAGGAAGCAGGAGAAGATGATGGTTGTCCAAATTACTGGTGCAACAGCAAGGTTAAATGCTGACTTTGCCTCTGTATTTTTTGAGTCCATTAAGTAGGGTGTGCACAGCTGCACTTGTAGGCTGCAGAAACACATTCCCAAGCACGCAAAGGCTGTGGGCCTCAAGCTCTTTTTTTCATTCTCTCTTACAAGATAGTATTAAGTCTTTCCTCTGCCTATGCCTTGAATAATTTTTTTTTGGCTCTAGTTTTTCCAAAATTAAGAAAATTAATATTTTGCAAGTAGTAGGACCAACATAATGCCATATTTTGGTTAATATAACTTTTTTCTGTAAGACAAATCATGTTACTGTGAAACCTTATAATCAGGTTCAAATTCAGGTTTATTTATTAAACAACAACAGACATTACAAAGTAATGTACCATAAAGAAAATACAGTAAGTACAAAATTACAGTAAATACAGAATTGAAATACAATAAGTATAATAGACTTATAAAACATAATAGATTAAGCCATCAGTCCCAACTGGTCAACTGTCCCAGACTGGTTATATTATCGATACATTGTTAAAATCTGCATCCAGATTTTAAGGGTGAATATAATGATATTTTATCATATATTTCCCCTCCCCCTGATGACTTCAGTTCTTTTGTTGGACAAAATAAAATGAGACAACCAATAATGTGTGTTTGTGTGACCAGTGGAAAGTGAGGGCATGTATGGAATTTTTTGAATATTTCTCTCTTAAATGACTTTCATGTCGAAAAGATCAACTTTTTTGACAAGATCTTTTGACTCCCTGCTGTCCTCTAGAAAGAATATAAAATAACCCCCTAGCTTTCTGTGCACAATTTCTGTATAATACACTTGGAGGAAGAAGCATGTGAAACTTTTTGATTGACCTGGTTTCTGCAGAAATTAGTCATAAAATGAGATATAATCTTAAAGTCACAACAACAATCTGCTCAAAAACCACGCAAACAGTGATATGTTTTTTTTATTGAGTACATTATGTAAACATTGACAGTACGTCGTGGTATAAGTGTGTGATGTAAAAGCAGGCTAAAGACAAAAGTTAAATGGAATTAAAAGTCAGCTTCCTTCAGTGAGGTGAGATTTCAAGGTGTTAGGCAAAGCCTCTTTAACTGTACAACCCGTATTTTGAGTTTGCTATTCATGAGAAGCATTATGTGAACCATGTGTCACAAGAGTTCTCAGAACACCTAAGATAAGAATTGTTTACTTGCATAAGCTTACAAAGTATTGTTAAAAGCCTTCATGTTCATCAGTGAGACCAACAGTCTATAAATGGAGAGAGTTCACTGCTGCTTCTGCTCTGTGAGTTGGGGGTCCTGCAAATATGACTGCAAGAGCATAGTGCAGAATTTCTGTAAAGACTCATAGAAATCTTGAACATGCTAATATCTTTAATTTACAATACATAAAAAAAACACTAAACGAGAACAGTATTGGATGGGAGGACCCAACTGATATGTTTTGGCATGATCTTAATAGACATCACATCATAGCCGTAGATTTATTTATTTTCAGAAAAAACGAAATGGTAATTTTCCCTCATGTAGCTCAGAGGAGTACTTCTTGTCTAGTTCACCAAAAAATTTACTTATACTGTCATGTTGTTTCAAACCAGCGGAGTCCAAAACAACATTTTGCTCGAGAGAAATAAATGATTTAAATGGTAAATTATACACACACAAACACACAAATACACAAACACACACCACATTTTATTAATAAGAACTATTTATTTTGTCTATAGATGTATATCAGTAACAGTGGTAGATTTTTATTTTGTCATCGCATTTACTTGAAGAGAGGGTGTTCAGATAACAGATGAGAAATGCAGGGCCAGATTAACCATATGGTGGTTTGGGCACCATGCAGGGCCGTATAAAGGTTTTCAACTAGCATGTACAGGGAACTGTAATACTTGATCTAACTAACCATCCAACATTGACCTCTTGAGCTGAACTTTCCAAAGAAAGTAAACATTTTGATTAACTGTAATTGAATAATTTGTTTGCTTATAACAAATAATTTGTTTGCTTTCTTAATAAATCACATAAAGCTGTTTTAAAATATTTCATTAAAACGGACAAATAATTCTCTTATTTTATATTTTCCAGTCACCTATTCAGCTCCTCCACAAATCAGTCTTCATCTTTGTTGTCTCCATTTCCCTCTCTCTTTCTCTCCTTTGCTGAGATCAGAATCTCAAGCAGAATGTAGGTCAGCAGTCGGTGCCGAGTTACCAATTAGAAACAGCTGTGTTTTTATTTTTTTGTCTATAGAGTGAGCGGAGGTCAGCGATTTCTGCTTTCGGTCTCATTCTTCGTTGTTTTTTTTTCTGGCTTCTTTCCCCTCTCTCGGTTCCCAGTCTAAAAAATAATGTGTTTACTATCCCTTTTCCCTGCTCTGTGATAATGATAACACCTCAGCTCAACCCTTATAGGTATACTCTGTCTAACAAAGGTTAAAAAAGGTAACCTTTTTTTCCCTCCTGAGAATCACAAAAGATGAACTGGATAGATAGATAGATAGATAGATAGATAGATAGATAGATAGATAGATAGATAGATAGATAGATAGATAGATACTTCTGCTAACTTATGTTAACAACATTCAAAAATGGAAAATGGATAAAATACATGTTTTGTGACTTGCAAACTTGAACATTTGGTTTTGAACACGTTTTGCAAATTCTGCTGAATTGTTAACACCAAGTTATTGCAAGGACAAAACAACAAAGAACAACTTGTGATAGCCATCATTATGCAGCAAATGTTTTTATAATATTTCTAGCTGTTATGGAATTGTATTCTAGCCGTTACATTTCCAGCTATTATTCCAAATAATAATAAAACATTTTTTTTTATTGTAAACATTGTTAATTCTTTTCTTAACACTATAACAATATATTTATACAACATTTTAATATTTTTCTTACACTTACAAAATCAGAAAAACTTATTTTAAAAGTCTTGCTTTAAACTTCTAGAAAGTAGTCACTTTGGGGGGAAAAGTAGTGCACAAGGATGACCATTTCAGTCGACCGCACCCTAGACGTCATTAGCGTATCAGCAAACCTACGATGGTTTTATATAATGATAAATATTAACTAAATAACATCTTAGTTTTTAAACGTGAATAAGTGAGTTGAATTAGTATTTTAATGTGATTGCAGCTCGGTAAACGATCAGAGACCTGACTCTGAAAACCATTTCCCTTCGCCGAGCTCTTCCAGAAACAACTTAGTCGCTGCCAGCACAGTTCACTAAACGAGGTTATAAGAAAACACGCCCAACATCTCCCTCTGTCCAATCAGCAGCGTGTATAGTGTACGTCAGACCAATGAGCGATTTAGGGGTTGAGTCACCCGTACTGTTGCTAGGGCATGGCTTCAACCGTGTTACTATCACTGACTAACCAATCATATGACATTTCGCAATGTCTCAACATCTTTCCTGTGAACCTCTCTCTTTGAAGTTTCTGATTGGATACAAATTTTTTTAAGTTCCGCCTTTCATACTTTTCTACTGTCTGATTGGACGATGAAGCCATCAATCGATCTCCAGATTTTAGTTTACGTGCAGTCTGCATTAATTTTTGTCGCGAGTCTCTACGACTCAGAATCGAACTGTCCACATCGAGCGTCATCACTTTTTTGTTTATTTGTTTGTTTTGTTTTGTTTACTCCATTTGATTTACACCATTTGTTAAACAGTGTACAACACGGTTTTTTTTTTGTATTATTTTGATTTCTGTAAATACACCGGAATGGAACTTAATTCTCTTCTACTTCTTCTTGAGGCAGCAGAGTATTTGGAAAGAAGAGACAGAGGTATATAATGATGTTTGTGTGGTCAACTAAAAATAGTCTTTGAATTTTAATATTTCGTTGTTGCGCTGGTCTAATGCCACTTATAAACCTGCCGGCGGATCAAGTGTAGTTTAATTCAAGCCCAAAAGGACGATGACATCTTGTTACTGTGAGTTATCAAGTCTATAATATGCAATAATCAGAATGAGATGACTTACGTGAATGACATTCGTCCCAGCCTCTGTTAAAATATTGATTCGTTTTCATTTTCCGTCAAATGTAACCTGGGGGAGGGGTGTTTGCTTTACAGTAAGTTGATAGAAGCATAATTTGTTCAATGTTAAATGGCTTGACGTTAAAACATACCAAGTGTCTAACTTTCTAACATTCTCGTTTTTGTTCACTGAATCGCGCACGTCTGTATTTAATGCTGGTTTTGTTTACTTTCTCACTAGAAGCTGAACACGGTTACGCATCTGTTTTGCCGTACGATAGCGACTTTTCCAGAAAGAAAACTAAATTCTCTCCTGTTTCAAGAAAAACCCACAACAATAGGTAAAAACAGTACAATGTCATTGCTATATTAATGAACGAATACATTCAAACGATGTTTATTCTACATGTAATCGCCATTTTTGTTGTTGGGCTTGGCTGTGTATAATAAACATTGCCACGCGTACAGCGTTAACATTCTGCTGCTGCTTTCTATTTTCCACTGCTGCCATCTCCCTTTCAAATCAATCAGTTTTTACGTAGAAACACCACACGTTTCATTAACCAAGAACTTTTTGTTGTTTAAAGACAACTGGCAACGTCAGTGCATTTTAAGTATTTATCACGTATGCACAAAATAGCTGGAAACTACTAATCAGCAAATATGCTGATTTCCTTAGCATATAAAACTTGTTAGACATTTAAAGTTATATCACTTGTTTGCATGCATAACATTTGCCAAACATTTTTTCTTCATGCATTCTTGCATACAAACAGTACATTTTGAATTAATGTTTTGTTTACAAGTTGCTATTCTTTACATTTTAACTTCTTGTTGAGCATTAATGGGACACATGTACATGTCATAGACAGTATGCTTTCAAGTAGTGTACTTTAGGTGTTGTTAAACTCTCACTGTTGGGTGTGGTGTGAATAGACCCAAGTCAGCTGCTAGAGAGCTTTGAACCTGGATCTGTTTTGCTGCATTAGCCCCCTTTCCTTGCAATGTCAAAGCAAAACAGCAGGAGCCTAGTGTGCAGCCCTTCCCCCACAAATGCATAGAAAGCACTGAAAAAAGGACATTTATGGAATTAGGGCTTTCCAGGAAATTTGCGAAGTTTTTCTTTTCGCTTTTACCAAAACTTACTTAGGAATACTTTTTTTGGAATTATTTCCCAAATTGCAAAAAAACATCTGCTGACATTGTGGACTTTCAGTAGTGTTAAAGCTTTATTTTATTTTTCAAACACCATCAATTCTGCACTAGCCTCAGATATTAACATTGTGCCTGTATTTTTAGCCTATATTTTTTTTACCTGTCATGTGCAGCAATTTCATTATGTGTACTTACGGATGAATAATAAGGGAAACATGATGTCATTATTTTTGCAATCCCATATGATGACGTTAGTGGTGCAGAAACTGCACACTGCAGCTTTGACATATGTCTAACAACTGAAGCTATGACCCATATATTTAGTTTTTATCTTGCATGCATTACAATCCCTATATTTTGTTTGTTTGGAGAAAATGTAATTGCCCCATCATACACCCCAGCATTCATACCCTGGACTAAAATAGCAATGCGTTGTAGCATGCTGAATTTCCTTTGCGTCATTGAGTGCATGCTGTGCTTTACTTACAGTGATATCGGTCTACTGGACACAGTAAGGCCATGCAGAATTATTTTGTTTTGTGTATAATGTAGAATTCAAAGCAGAACAGCATGTAGTGTGTGAAGGGGCCAGGGAGCACCAAAAGCATTCCATTTATACATTCATTTATTTATGAATTCATTCCAAGTAAAAATAAATTACATTTGACATTGCTCCTTTTTTGGGGTTTCAAAGATAATTTGTTGAATATTTGTGCTCGACAATGGGGTCATTTTTGTTCATTCAAAATTAATAGTATCTTGATCGAATGGCAAACAAGAGTGCATATGTGGTGTTAACAAACAAATGCAGCTTTTCGAAGTTCCTTTTGGACCACATTATTATATGAAGAACATCACCATTAATTCAACACAAGACTTACTTGGTGTGTCCTGCTTTATATGATACTAGGAACCGTTTTTACTCAAAGTACATTAATGGAAACATTTTTTATTTTAATTTGAAAGAGTCTTAATTTATTTGTCTTACAGTAGATTAACAGCATCACTCTATTAGAAAAACATCCTGTAGCAGTTGTTCAGAGATACAGAGTTGCTTTTTTATATTTTTAGCACAGGGTCAGTATACTGTTTTTTGTTTTTTTTTAATAAATAAGTAAATAGTCAATGTTCTTCTTATTATTTTTATTAACCAAACTCATCCATGCTTCTGTTTATTTCTTGTTCAGGTCATCACACAATGAGTTGGAAAAACACAGGTAAGAACATACCCATTATGGGTTGTATTGGATTTGCTTATATCTTAAAAGCCAGTGTTTTGTAGTAATGATTTAAATTGTATAAAAAATAAACAGGTTTGAAATGAACATTTGCCAAATGTGGGTGATAATCAACTTAATAGCCAATTTGGCAGCATATGTTTATAAATTATATTTGTGTTACTTTACAAGTGTTTCTGAGACACTGCCGGTAAACCCACTGCATTCAATATGAATTATTTGCTGTTAATATGCTGACTCAAAAGGCATGAGAATATTATGATCATGAAACTATATGTTGGGGTATAATCTTGTCATATTTACATGATATTTTGGAGCATGAATTTCAATGTCATTATCGGACACCTAGGTTGGCTTTTTTGAATGCACATCAGAGTGGAAGCTTTAAAGGTGCTGTATGTAAGTTTTTGACTCTACTAAAGCATAAAAATACCATAATATGTTAGCAAATATTTAAGAAACATGCTAAGTTAACATATTTGTTTACCTAAAAATCAATGCTACAGTCAGTTATTCTCCTTTGAAAATGTGCGTTCCGGGCCGGAATTGTCGGTCTCTGTTTTGGTTTGTGAAACCCGCCCACTGCCAGTTTACCCAATTGTATTTCGGCACACCGGGTTGCCAGTTGGCGGGCACAGCGCATTTCATTTCGGTCATGGAAGCTGGCAAACGAAAGGGGTTAGAGCGGGAAATAGAACTTTCTGCCCATCCTAAAAAACCTCGACATCCATCCAAAAAACTTTATGATCAACAACGGTATAATAAAAGCAAAATAAATATTGCAGATGCGTTTGAGAGATGGTTGTTGGTATCCTCAATCTGGCAACCTGTGTGTGCGTCAAGTCTGAGGAGGGGGGACCGGGTGAAAAAACCCTTTTGTAAAAAAGTATTTTGAATTTGGACTGCAATACCTAGTTCAACCACTCAGTGTCAATCCTACATACAGCACCTTTAATGCTTTTGTGAAGAAACAACTGATCATTTTATGAACTGGCAGCCTGTCTGCTAATCAATGTGCTTGACAATATGTCATTTTGGAGTGATCTGTATTTAGAGTTTACAACAACATATAAACCCTGTTTTTCCTGCATTGCCCGTCAAGTGCACAAAAAGGCTGTTTGAAATGTTCAGTCATGTCCTTCGTCAGAATGGAACCTCTGAAACATTAACAACACTAGACAGAGTACCAGGAAAAACAGGAAAACCATACATGCAGGTTTATGATATTTTTTTGAAGAGACATATAGAAATACAAAGGAAAAACATTTCAATGTCATGTAATTTCTGTGTAGGAGCATCAAATTAGTTAATGCTGTAAAAAGTAATAATTAAACAAATGTACTAAAGGCTGTGCTATATTGTGAATATAGTCATGGCTGGAAGTTGTTGTTGAATAATGTGCAGCCTCATTGGTTTGATAAAAAGATTATTACATAAATTAAGGATACAGTTGTTTTAAATTAAAATGTTGTTTTTGTATATGTACTTGTCTCTTTATCTGTGCCATGTCCTATATTATTTTAGCACAGCTGGAACACTGTATTGACCAATCAAAAAATAGGAAAGAAACTTTCATCCATTTGTTGTCCTGGCTAAATTGAAGTCCCTTTCGCTGGTGTGCTATGTTTAATTGACAAGAATTTGAAGTTTTAATGATAACAGTGACTTTTACTCTCCTACCTGCTGTTTGAATGTGCTAGTTTGCACAATGGAAGTACTTGTGTTATATTTTTGTTAATCTAAGCATCCTGAACATTTTTGACACAGACTTTTCTAATTCGAAGTGCTATGGAAAGTCAAATGAACACAAGTAACAAATGAGTAATTTAGCAATTAGTCATTTAAAATGTTATTTTGTAACAAATTAATAATTAAAACCTTATTAGTTATTAGTAATAAACACAAAGTAGACTCCCTCCTTTCAGTTTGAAAGGTTTTCTAATTTATATTTGTGCATGATGTTGAGGCTGTCTTACCATGAGATGTGAGTCAACTTATTAGCATTTTAAGTAAAAACATTCTTTAGAATTCAGCTATGCCACACAGATTTGGGAAAGTCATGCTTGGAAGTAGCCTAAACAAACATAATAATTATACTGTGAACAATAAACCCAAATAACTATGGAAGCATATACTGTAGGTAGCGAAATTCAATTTAAAATGCAATATGCAAAATGGCAATGCAATATTGCACAAATTGATTTGATATGTGTAACATGTCCAAGCAGAAATGGTAGCAAAATGATCGTTTAAATGCTATTTGTCCTAAATGCATTTAGACTAACAGTTAGAACACTTAGGAACACCTAACCCATATCAAATCAATCTGTGTTATACATTTTCATTTTCATTTCGCAAATTATAAAGCGTTAAAATTTGTATGCAATTTACATATTAAGACTACTGTTGGAAATGGCAAATGTAAATTATATAATTTAATTTTCATTTTCCTTTTGCAACAAACTTTGCAGGTATGGGTAATGGAAAATGTAAATTTAAATACAGAAATACATTGCCATTTTGAATATTGCGTTGCCATTTTGCATATTGCATTTAAATTTAATTTTGCTACCTATATGCTTCCATAAATAATTAAATCTGAATAAAAAATGATCAAAATAATTTTTTAGAAAAATATTATTTGTGCATGATATTAAAACAACATTAAACATTACATTAAACAACCATGAAAGTCAAGCAATTAATTTATACACTCATTGTGAATCAGCTGTTCTGTACATCACACCTTTAAAATGATTGAAATACAGTGGAATTAAATTAACTTAAAATAATTAAAATTATAGTTCACTGCAGACCTGCTTTCCGATCACTGATCTCTATATATTATTGATGTATAGATGATATTGTCTATATTAAATATCAGATCAAATCAAGTGAAGTGAAAGTGACATGTGGCCAAGTATGGTGACCCATACTCGGAATTAGTGCTCTGCATTTACCCATCCAAAGTGCACACACACAGCAGTGAACACACACACCGTGAACACACACCCGGAGCAGTGGGCAGCCATTTATGCTGCGGCGCACGGGGAGCAGTTGGGGGTTCGGTGCCTTGCTCAAGGGCAACTCAGTCGTGGTATTGAAGGTGGGAGAGAGCACTGTACATTCACCCCCCCCCCCTACAATCCCTGCCGGTACGAGACTCAAACCCACAACCTTTGGGTTATGAGTCCGAGACTCTAACCATTAGGCCACGACTTCCCCCAACACACTCCTTTCAACATCACAAATCAGCAACTTATGTACCATCTAGAATTATTAGTAATTTGTATTAGGTAATTTATGTGCTAAGAACTCATAATTACAATATTTCTGGCTCGTGAATGAATCACAATACTTTAGTGAGTTAAAACATCTTAATAACAGAAGGAAAAAGGGCCTCTGACATGCAACCCATTTCAGAGTGTTCCATGAAAACATGATCTCGGTCATATCCTCTGTGTTTGGAAAATGTGTCTGTTTGTTTGTTTTCTTCTGATGCTTTTGGCATTTTATGTCAAGCATGCAATATTGCATTTAATCAGCAATACTTGCCACTCAAGCAAATACATGGTAGAATCATTTTTGGCAGCAGTCACTGCTGTCAGTGTCTTTTGGTGAATCACAAAGAGATCTTGCTAAAGATTTTTGGCAAAAATTTCTCAAGCTTTATCAAGTTTCATGGGGATTGTTTTGTTAACTGCAGTTTTTTTTAAAGGGGTCATATGATGCGAGTTCAAGTTTTCCTTTCTCTTTGGAGTGTTACAAGCTCTTGGTGCATAAAGAAGATCTGTAAAGTTGCAAAGACTAATGTCTCAAATCCAAAGAGATATTCTTTATAAAAGTTAAGAGTCAGCCACGCCTACCTAAAACGGCTCGTTCTAACACGCCCCCACATATCTATGTCACTATGTGGAAATATTACCAAATGTGCACGCAAAGAAAGAAGGCGTGGTTTCAGGAACAGCAGTAGTGTTACCGCAGCCATGTCAGGGAGACGCTGTGTGAACTGATGGTAAAACTAATGACATTATTAACTGTCTTGATATTTACTTTGAAAGCCGACGCTCGCGATTATGGTAAGGGGAGTTTCCTTTCCGACGCGTGCTTGTGGTGTTCAGCCAATCACAATGCACTGGGTCAGCTGGCCAATCAGAGCAGACTGCGCTTGTCAAAGGAGTGGGCTTTGTTGAAAACGACGTCTTTGAGAGAGGCGGGGCATAGAGGACCTACAATAATGTACAGTATTTGAAAAATAATGTGTTTTTTGAACATTAAAGCATGTCAACATATTCTGTTACACCAAATACACCAAATAATGATCTTTAAAATAGCGTCATATGACCCCTTTAAGTTAATGTTCAGTTGGATTAAGATCTGTGGGGCCACTCAGACACTTTAACCTTTCTTGTTTTAAGTCAGTCCAGCTTTGTTTTGTTCTGCCTTTGCTGATGCTCTAGGTTATCAAAAGTATAAAGTATCTTCCAAGTTAAAGTGCCCTTCCTCAATTGTTGGCACACATCATGAATTTCAAAGAAATTATGTACATAATAATTCTAATATGTTTCTTCATGACCGCAGTGCTGCTTTGCCAAGTGCATGTTTTAATAAGCGTTTTCCTTGTCGAATGAGACAAAGAAAGGCATCTGATACCCTCAGTAAGATGTGGTTTTGACAGCTTCAGTGATCATATTGTGATTGGAGCATTGTATTGCACTGTTTGCTTTCTGTGTGCAATTTATAAAAATAAAAAAAACACTTATAACCTTTCAATGCCTTATTGACAGGACAAATCTCTGATTATCAGCCAATGTCAGAAAGCAACAGTTTTTGTTTCTTTTTAGCCTTTATTTAACAGACAATAGAGTAGCAATAGAAAGCAACAGAAGAGGAGAAAGGAAATGGGTTTGGGAAAGGACATCAAGGTGGGACTTGAACTTGAGGTGCTCAAAGTGTTGTTGTGGAGTTCTGCCCACAAACCCATGACATATGTCAATATCAGCAAAGAAATGGAGGCAGGAAAACAAAATGTCATTTAAAAATATTTCCAAGCCACAGTTATGTTTATTTCTGAAATCATGCGTAAGATTACCTGTACATATCTGGACATCAATCAAGTTAATATGTGACTTCAAGACTGTTTTGGGATGTGCCAATGGAGTTGAATACATTATTTTCTACACTAGAAGCCTGTATTAGACAAGAATGGAACAACATTCCTATTCCTGAACTTGAGCAACTTGTCTCCTCAGTCCCCAGACGTTGCAGACTGTTATAAAAAGAAGAGGGGATGCCACACAGTGGTAAACATGGCCTTGTCCCAAGTTTTTTGAGATGTGTTGATGCCATGAAATTTAAAATCAACTTATTTTTCCCTTAAAATTATACATGTTCTCAGTTTAAACATTTGATATGTCATCTATGTTGTATTCTGAATAAAATATTGAAATTTGAAACTTCCACATCATTGCATTCTGTTTTTATTCACAATTTGTACAGTGTCCCAACTTTTTTGGAATGGGGTTTGTATTTATAGTTTTTATTATTGGTGTTTGCTAAGGCAAGCATCGCTGCTTGACGGGTATAATATAAGAGGTAACACCATAGACACTAAAAGATACTATAGTTTTAATGAGAGCGTTTGATTTTTGATTTGAGGCTCGAAAAATCCAGTTTGTAGTTTTGTATGTGGGTTTCAGGGCGTGTTTTAGGATTAAAATCTTTGGAGGGGGTTGAAAATCCGTGTTGCCCAGCGACAGCCCCAAAACATTACTGCTCTTGAGGAATGGGCCAAAATACCAGCAACCGTGTGTGAAAACCTTGTGAAGACTTACAGAAAATGTTTGACCTCTGTCATTGCCAACAAAGTGTATATAACAAAGTATTGAGATGAAATTTTGTTATTGACCAAATACTTATTTTCGACCATAATTTGCAAATAAATTCTTTAAAAATCCTACAATGTGATTTTCTGGATTTTTTTTTCTCATTTTGTCTCTCATAGTTGAGGTATACCTATGATGAAAATTACAGGCCTCTCTCATCTTTTTAAGTGGGAGAACTTGCACAATTGGTGGCTGACTAAATACTTTTTTTCCCCACTGTATAAGAGGTAACACCATAGACACTAAAAGATACTATAGTTTTAATGAGAGTGTTTGATTTTTGATTTGAGGCTCGAAAAATCCAGTTTGTAGTTTTGTATGTGGGTTTCAGGGCGTGTTTTAGGATTCATTTTGCCTTGGGAAACTGGTGATGATGTGGTGCTGGCGTCATGACTGAAGAACATGCCCATTTCTTGCCTTTCTGTTACTCAGAGAGGGAGACTGAAGACCCTCCACACTCTTCATGTCTGCTCTTTCCTTTTTTCTGCCTCATCCTTTTCTTGAGTTGCTTCACTCTTCTGACTCGTCAGGAGCTTGAGAAGGAGGTGCAATAGCTTGGTATAGCATGGTTTTTAAATGTTCAGTATTTGAAAGCAAGTCTTTAGCTAGTTTAGCAGCAACTTGTCAGTGGAAGACTCGTTTAATTATACTGTGCAATGATACCCTATCAAAAAAGGCATTAACATGTAAGTCTACACATGGATGTGCAAAACTGTGTATTTTAATAATTAATTAGTTAGTGGATTGTCTGAAGCTCAGACACATATCTTGGGGGGGCATTAACACTGTTTTTTGCATTCCTCTATGCAAAAAACACCAGGATGTAGTGCAGCAGAATGATCTCCGACATGGTCTGAGAAATTAAACAGTTCTCTGCTGGAATGGTCAGCAAAATTCTGTTAACACAGCAATCCAGTTCACTGAATATGTGCCTGAACCTGCAACTTTACTGTATGCGTTTATAGTGAAATTCATGCTGTGCCTGTTCTTCGCAGGCTACCCAGCATTCCTGTGTTTTCACAGATCTGCAGGTAGAACTTTGTACAGTTGTACACTAACTAATTATGCATCTAGTAAAATTAGTTTAGCCCACAGGAATTTCTTTGTGAATTCAAGTGCATTTATTTGTTATTGTTTTGACTGAATTGACCCCAACGAGTCTAGTTTCTTCCAAAGTTTATTTCTTATCCTACCTAACATCTTGGGGAATTTTTCCTTGCCACAGTCAAATTATGCTTTCTCAGTGGGGGTTTTAAGGCCCCATGTTCTGTAAAGCTGCTTTGGAACATTATGTATTATGAATACTGCCATACAAATAAAAGTGACTTGACTGTTTAACCCAGAAATCAGATCACTGCACTTTTGGTGAGATCAGATTTTCAGGAGTTGAAACCTTATGGGCTATTTCAACAAGTATTTGCATGAAAAGTCTTGCTACATTATTGATTGCAATTATACATGTACACTATTGCTGTGAAAAGCAGTGAAGGACCAGAAAGAGAAGCTCGAGCACACTGTCCTGTTATTTTAGCTCATGTTAATCATTCACAGCGTTATGATGATGTGACGCCTGGCCTATTTCAAATAGCCTCTGTGCTAGTAGGTACTGTATTATAATTTACTCTCCAGGCTTTCTTTAAATTCTGTTAAAATTTTATTTTGATCAGTACAACAGTATGGTTGCAAATAAGACTGGACCCAATCTGTTCGGTTGTAGCAGCTTATGTGGTACCAGTTGATTGTATAAAACTGATTGAGATGAACCACAAAAAGTATCAAAACAAGTTAACTTGGCAAGTTCATCAATTTTAACCCAAAGCTTTTACCTTGAGTTACTTCCATCACAGTATTTTAAGAAATGTGGCCAGCAAAAGTTGGGCAAATAATATTGCCTTTATTTTAAATAAATGTTGTTGTTTTTTTTTACATTTTACTTTTTAGTTATATAGTTGTGGACTTGATAAATGTTTTGTTCCACAAACAGTGCAAGGCTCTTTAAGATCGCTTTGACAATGAAGAGGAGGCACAGTAAAAACAAATAAGTGTAACTTTGTTAGGTGTGCTTGTGTCAAGGCCATTGTAGAGTCATTCATGATGCTTCACAGGTTAGGTATAGCTCAAAAAGTCCACATAGATAGAGATACATTTACATCCACTTCCATTTCACTTTTGTAAACAAGTAACGATTTGTTGCAGATGAAGATGTTTTTGTGCTTTTGAGAACTGGCTATAAAGTTGTGTGTGGATATTCACATGAGAGTCAGTCATATACAGTATGAACATTTTTCTGTCTTTTGAGAGGTGTAAAAGGACTGGCTTTGCCCACACCAGCTAAGCATACAGTCAATGGTCTCTTTCTCCAAAAAGGGTCACTTCCTCCAGAATAGAGCCCCAGTCTGCCTGAGTCGCCTCATTCTGATGGACTCTGGCAAAGTCTATTTCTGGAAAGTCAGTTTGTTCTGCAACCGCCTTGGTAACTCGATCTACAGATATTTTGATCTACTTTACGTTGGAAAGATGGAAAAGTCTTACCATATCAATAACATGTCAAATCACAGATAAAAATTAAGAACAATTAATATAATTTACTTTCTTCTTTAGCATAAATTAATCAATAATAAAAAAAGCTGATGCTTTCCAGAAAAGCTGTTGCCTCTTTTAGATGAAACGTGGGACTTCCTTTACTACAGCCGCTATGTTGAGCTGCAGTTAGTTCCAGTCCTCAAATTTAACTAAGGGCTAAGATTGCTGATATAGAGTAGAACAGCATTAAGACTTCTCACTGTTTGTGTCAATCCACTTGTTTTGACAAGCCATGAATTTGCTTTACATCTATATGGTAGTATTAATTACAAAATATACAAAAGATTAGTTTTGCACATAATATTAATAGACCAATGGTTTGTTTCACTTTTGGTTTGGTGTGAAAGGGCCTTTATACTGAACGATTTTGTCCCCCTCAATTCTGTTTTCTATGCCCCTGTCAATATAAATGTATTACGTGTAGGGATGGGTACCGAAAGTACTGGAGAAATTAATAAAACACACATTCATTTATTATTGCTATATATACATTATCTTGAAAATTCTATCTCACCAGAGTCGCCAGCTGTTTTTCAAACATTTGTCTATGATGCATTTTTGCTATTCGCAATTCAGAAGCGAGATCGCGCCCACGCGGAGAAGCTTCAGCACGCGCAACATGAAAGCCCTGTTTAATTATGATAGAAGAGAGAACTAAACATTCAAACATCTGCTTACACTTTAGGCCTATGGCTGTTTTATTAAGCTAATTTTATTTTTTTACTTCGATTTTGGCTTCTAAGGATTATACAAAAGAAGACATGAGGTAAAGCTATTAAAAACTAGCTGTGTTTCGTCTTGCGCAACTTCTTTCCCTTCACAGCGGTGCGCATTCGTTCCTCCCTAAAACCCAAACTTAACGTCAGAATCAGCTCAATCGGTGATTGTTGTAAGATGCCATCTTTACTGTTGCTAAATTGCAGGACATATTTGATAATAAAACGTTGAAAGCACAATACGCACAAGAGCCTCTGTTCCTCAGGCTGAAATGTGTGCACGCGGCGCGCTCCAAAACGGACAAACAAATGACACTTTGAGCTTCGGGCGCATGTCCAAACGGTCATATATATATACCGATAAGAATACCGTTAAAGTACCGAATCGATAAGCAGTATCGGTAAGAGTAGTAATACCGTTAAAACCTTAACGATACCCATCCCTAATTACGTGACATAACCTTAGTATCTGTGGAGTCTTTTTTGTAGAGTTTTGGTGAATTTTTTTTTTTTTTTTTTATCAATCACAGGACCAGTCCTCTTACATAAAGCTGCAATCACATCTCATTAATCTAGTTCCTCAGTCATGCCTGCATGGCTTCAAACCAGCAGCCTTTTTGTTAGCAGCCCACAGCAGCATCCTGAATCAGTTCTAAAGTTCTGAATTTATCCCAGGGTAATACTTCACTCCAACCTGTTCTTTATTTATTGCAGACGTGCCAAACTGCGATTGTACCTGGAACAGTTGAAACAGCTTGTGCCTTTGGGTCCTGATAGCACCCGTCACACCACACTGAGCCTGCTCAAACGCGCCAAAATGCACATCAAGGTACAAACAAATCAGCATCTTTCTGACAGTGTCTCTGTTTGCAAAGCAGTAAAGAGGTTAGAGCAGCTTAAAGCAGTTACAGTGAGAAGGGAAGTTAATCAGGAACTGTCTACAGGAAGTTTATGTCACTCTCCATGTTGCAACTCAGTGACCCACAGTTACTGACATGATTGAGATGGTAATTTACTCCAGCTTAAAATCATTGAATCATTGCAGCATTATATGAGGCAATTGCTGAATTAAGATTCACATTGATATTTTTGTGTGGTACTATGAAGAAAACATTTTAGTGTGATACAACTGTCCTGATATCATCAACGGAAAAAAATTATTAAAAGAAGGAAATTCTGGAAAAGAATCCGTTTTATTGCTTATTATTTAAAAACAACTCATCCGCCAAATCAAAGTTATGTAGTGCGACCAACATAGTCATGTGGTCCATCCCATAGATATGTTTACATAGATGCCTCATTAGCTACTGTTTCTATGGGCTGCTATACATGCCGTCCGCCATCTTGGAACAGTCAACTTGACGTCATTCACCATAGTAATCACTGAATATTCGAAAGATGCCACAATCCTGCACAGAACGGCTCAATGGCTTTGGTTGTTGAATAGTGTATGAATGACGTCAAGTTGACCGTTTCAAGATTGGTGTGACTTCCCAAAAACGAAATGATATTTGTGAATGAATAATTAATGACATTTGTAAAATAAATAAATCAAAATAAAAATGACTTGAAATAAGATCTCTTTTTTTAACATACTAAATAAGTTGTGTACAGTAACATGTTTTCAAGGTTACTTTTTACTTGGTTACACCACATAACATCTTGAAAGTCATTAAACTGAAACTTACTTTTCTTGAAAGCACTTAAACAAAAAACAAGAGCTTTCTTTCTTTTCTTTATCATGGACACTTTTTATGTCACTGACTGATTTATCTCTGTCTAATTAAAATGGGTGTAAGCCTCAGTGGAATGGAAAGTGTTCAACAAACTGTCACTTAAAGTGTGTGAAAGAGACAAGACACAGAAAACCCAGTACCATGTGTCTGCTGACCATTTTGTTTCTTTCCTGTTTGATACACTGTATTTCAGCTCAACCTGCCTGGTTTCCTGTCATGCAGCATAGATGTGTGTGTGTGTCAGATATTTTTAATATTATAAAAATTTTTGTCCATGGAGGTAATCAGTAGGCTAATTTCTAATGAGGAGACCAATTTATATGACACATTTTTATGTAGGCTTTTATACATATGCAAACATTATTTAATTACCATTATAACTAGCTATCTCACAAATTTTTGCTCACTCTGTGTATTTTTGATTTTACAGTTGGGTAATTTTGGTGCAGTAGCACGAGATAGCTTGATTTCAAATTTGAATTTAATAAAAAATGACAAGTAAACAGTCAGTAATAAAATAAGAACAAATAAAGAAATTAATAATGATAGCACAAATAAAAAAATAACGACTGGCCTACAAATGAAATAAATTGCTTTTTAGTTTTTCAGGTCTAACAGTAGGGCTATTTCGAGATTTCGTTTTTTTTTTTTACCAATTATCCAAATAATGTTTAGTCCTAGAAAGCTATTATTATCAGAACACGTGAGCATAACATGCGGTTATCAGATCAATGAATGAGAGGACAGCGTTACCAGAGTTGCCCATATACCACACCATGTTACAACACAGTAGGGCTATTGCAGACAGAAACAATACTGTACTACATCGATGTTTCCTGTCAGCTCAATTTTTGAGTGGACTTTGCTGTTACGATGAGCATGAACGGTATACCGTATGAGTGAAGCAGTCACATGGGCCGTGAGCGACTGAGCGGAGCTCACATACGCAAAGCGTCACACCAGGAGAAAGTGAAACCTGAGCGGTAAACTAATTTTTGGCAGGAAGATGATTTCGGTGCATCTCTAATTAGTGGCGACATCAGAAATGGATATTATATAATAGATGCTTTTTTGAAAATTTTAGCAATTTAAAAATATAAAAAAATATATTTTTTTCACGGCACTCCTGCTCTCGACAGACGGCACCCCGGTTGGGAAACACTGCTCTAGGCAATGATAGATGATACATGTCTTGCAGTGTGGTGTTTCTGCGCTCTGTGGTTTGATCAGTGGAAACTTATGCTCTGCAGAAGCTGGAGGAACAGGACAGAAAGGCTCTAAACATGAAGGAGCAACTGCAGAGAGAACATCGCTACCTCAAACGGCGCCTGGAGCAGCTCTCTGTACAGGGCTTAGAGCGCATTCGCACTGACAGCATGGGCTCCACCATCTCCACTGACTCTGAGCAAGGTACAGCACAGCTGAAATAATCTAATATGCCGATATTTACTTATATCCAATAAAACCTTAAGCTCTCTCTGAAGTATTGTGTTTAAATGGACAAATTCACAAAAAAATTCATAAAAATTCATAAAAAAATTATGTCAAAATGCCCGTCTTGGTAAGTATCCTATAGCAGGCATATCCGGCTGAATGACCGTACTGTATCAGTGCGCTGGATTAGTGTATTCTCTTAAAGTGACAGCACTTTCTTAATATTAATCAAACAGCAACAACAAAGAAATCACTCACTGCTCTTGATTGAATAGCTTTTGTAACTTTAATAAAGATTCATCTTTAATTTATACAGTCAAATATGCAATGCTGTTTTACATTTCATTACTTTATTCAATTTCTGTACCTAAAAACTAATGTTAGACCTACCTAGAAAAAACCTGAAAATCACTGTTTATTTTATTTGTATCTTTACTCTATTGTATTTATTTATTTGTGCTGTTGCTTGTAGTTAGTTTATTCTTTTTCTTTATTTTTTATTTGACAGTATAATTTTTGCCTAAACATAGCACATACCGAACCGTACCGAAACCGTGACTCTAAAACCGTGATACAAACCGAACCGTGAGTAAGTTGAACTGTGCCACCCCTAATATATATATATATCTATATAGATATATATATATATATATATATAGATAGATAGATATATATACAGTGCCTTGCAAAATAATTCATACCCCTTCATTTTTTTCACGTTTTATGTTGCTGCATTATGTTAAACTGATTTAAATTACTTTTTAAGTATTCTAAAGTATATCTGGGACAGTTGAAATTTAGCTCAGTTGCATTCATATCGCTTGTAGATGTTACTACACTTCGAGTGAAGTTAACCTGTGGCAAATTCAATTGAATGGGTATGATTTGGAAAGGCACACACGTCTTAATAAAAGGTCTAATTGCTGATAATGCATATCAGTGCAAAAACCAAGCCCTGAGGCCAAAAGAACTGCCTGTAGAGCTCAGAAACAGGTTTCCGTCAAGCCACACATCTGGGGAAAAGTTCAGAAAAAAATTATGCTTCAATGAAGGGTCACAGAAGCATGTAGTCTCTGTTACCCTTAATGGAAGAAGTTTGAAACAACCAGGACTCTTCCTAGAGCTGGCCTCCTGGCCAAACTGAGCTATTGATGGAGAAGAGCTTTGGTTAGTGTGGTGACCAAGAAACTTATGGTCATTCTAGTTGAGCTCCATGATCATATGCGGAGATAGGAGAAATCTACAGAAGGTTAAACATCACTGCAACACTCCACCGATCTGGGTGTCATTTCTTCAGTGTTGTCACATGAAAAGATATAATAAAATATTTACAAAAATTCTTTCCCAAAAAGACTCATGGCTGTATTCGATCAAAAGGGTGCTTCTACTAAATACTGAGCAAAGGGTCTGAATACTTAGGACCATGTGATATTTCAGTTTTTCTTTTTTAATAAATCTGCAAAAATGTCAACAATTCTGTGTTTTTCTGTCAATATGGGGTGCTGTGTGTACATTAATGAGGGAAAAAAATTAACTTAAATGATTTTAGCAAATGGCTGCAATGTAACAAAGAGTGAAAAATTTAAGGGGGTCTGAATACTTTCCGTACCCACTGTATATATATATATATATATATATATATATAAAGCCATACATATGGAGATTGTTTTGTTGCATTAATCCAGATAAATAGATTATAATCCACAAATAAATGTAATGAGATTTTTTTAATTCACTAATAAATAGAATGAGATCCACGAGTAAATCTTAGTTTCACAAACATAAATTAAATTCACAAATAAATAAAATGATAATTGCAAAAAAAAAATAGAAATAAACATTAACAAATATCTTTTTATGTCACAAACACAACTTTGCCAGGCATTCATTTGTGAATCGCATCCTCTGCATTTTTAGATCACTGCACATATTTGTGGATTGCTTGCAACGCATTTTTGAATGGCTTTCTGTGCATTTGTGGGTCGCTGTGCACTTCTGTGATTTTGAAACATTTCTATCATCAAAACGTTCTGACAAATACATCCACAAATATGTGGACACCACCCACCGTCTACTCAAGCCAATCAGATAACAGCCACACTTTGCTGACCAATCGTAACTCGCTCTCGCTATAGCCAATCACCCTTTGCTTTACAATCAGGTTAGGAACAATTAATTTATTTGCACTCCTGTAAGGAATTCTATGGACACTTTGTTCAAATTGAGTTGAAGTTCTGTTTGGTTTAAAAAATCCTGTTTGGCTTCTGTATATTTTCAATGAGAATAAACTCAGGATTATACACACATTATGATCATTCACAGATCCCAAGCATGAGGAAACTGAAATCATTATAATCAGAGATACGGTCTACACTGGATGAGGAGTAACACGATGAAGGACACATATTTGCACATTCACTTTGTTGTATTCAGCGCAACAGCAACTTATATATATATATATATATAAATAAAAACAAATTTTTTTTTTATGATTAAAAGTTGAGCTTGGCAAATTAAGCAAGTGAGCAGAAAATCAGATTTGTATTGCATTCAGGTGCAGTATTAACAGCCTGTATATATGTATATGCTGTTGATTACCACTGATAATTCAGCTCCTCACCCCTCAATATGTACAAACAAATAGGAAGTGGTCTCACAGCATATACATGTACAGGGAAAAACCAGTAGGTAAGCGGGGCAGCGCTGGAAAAAATTTTTTTAACATAAGCTCAGTTTTTCATAAGCATAACCATACCACTTTTATCGCCCACTCATTTATACAAGTCAAAATCAGTCTGTGGTTACTGACAGTATCTCAGAGTTTCCATCCATAGAAATTAGGTTTAACATAACTTAGAATATTCCTTTATTCTTGAGATCATTGGTTGAGGTGTAAAAATCACTATTGATGAGTTTTTATTTCTGTGTGTATACAGAAGTGGACGTTGACATAGAGGGCATGGAGTTCACACCAGGTGAGGGTGATAGCGTGGACAGTGTTAGCGATGGTGAGGACCACTACAGCCTGCAGAGCAGCTCCAGCGATGGAGGCCACCATTCACATTCCCACAGATTACAGGCTCACATCTGATAGGCCGTGTCAGACCGTGCAACAGTGTGTCACCTCCAACATACCCATCAGCCACTCCCAGCTGGCAGGAAGCACCTGGCTGATTTCCACTCCTCAGAAAACTCTCTCCCCTCTCAACCCTCCCTAAACCCACAAATACACACAGACAAGCAATATGTGGTTTTAGTAAGAATATGTGGTGTGGTAATGCAGTTTTAACTTGTCTGTTCTGCTGTGTATGTATGAGAAACCGTGGCTCTGTTCCAAAACCTAGTAACTGCCTAGCTGTCTATCGCCTACATAAACGTAGTATCCAAACTGAAAAGGAAAAAAGAAACTACAAGGCAGCATGGGTTTCCTGTGTACATTTTGGCTGCGTTTACACTTGCACAAAATCCAATTTTTTTTTATTAACTCACATCTGACATAGATCAGATATTGATATCGCACATGTACAAGCACAAAAATCTGCATCCATTCTGAGCCACTTTCAAATGTAGTTTTAAATCAGATATATATTGGATATCTGGAAATCTGACCTATGTCTAAACATGTATATATGATTCAGGTTATGACCACAGGTTAGGGTGACACATTTACCCACAATATAACTATTCTTATTGTCGTATTATGAAGCACACATGCCTGTATGCACTTGCACAAATCACTTTAGATTAGGAAACTTTATAATAGGTAGAAAATTACGCACACACAGAAACATTCAAGAGCATATAAACCTGCTCAATTAATTTTATGATTAGAATAGATTCTCTACTGAACGCTAGATTTAATTTTTCAGCAACAAAGTTGTAACCTCGCTGATGTTGAAGTACTTAAACTCATAGATTCATGATATAAAGATACTGCACAGATACAGGTAATTCACACGCATCTCTTTCTTAAATTCATTCAAGTGAATGTAATCTCACAGCGCTACTTTTTTCAATTCAGAATTCTAGATCTAATGGAAACTACCAATAATTGATCTGTTCTGTCAAATTTTGTGTTGCAAACATCAATGACAGTTTTACATTTTATATACGGACATCCAAAACCAGAAAGTCAACTGTGTTGCTGAAAGTGATCACCAAAGGAATTGTTCTAGTTTGGACAGGAATTAATATATATACACACATATCGTATACGAGTTGTGTCTTATATGAATATAAACCGATGGGACAAAAAAATCAGATATGATCAAAAGATCAGATCTCTGCATTCATGTAAACGCAGCCTATGGCTGTTCCAAAATTGGGGTGCAAGTCTATAATACCCAAAATGCTATCTAGGCAGGCAGGTCACTAGGTTTTTGAATAGCGCTTGCTTGTGTGTCAGTTCATTTTGATTCATGGGTTTAAACAGAATTCTTGTGTGGTTCTTGAAAGTGCAAATCATAGCATTAGGCACACTAAATGTAATAGACCCCCTAATAGACTAATGGAAAGGGAGCAAAAGGACAAAACTTAAGGGCACTTCTAGGAATTAATGAATTCTATTTCAGTATTCAGCCCACGCAGTTAAATTGACCATGGAGATTCATTAATTGGCTACTTTTGTGTGAAAGAAAAGAGAATATTGATATCTAATGGTTGATTCATAGCAAAGAAATGGTGCTGTGCAAATGCATCCGTGTAGTAGTCTTTATGTAAAACTTTCAGTAGTAAATGATGTAGCAATAAACTTGGAAAGCTATGGCTTTCTTATGCAGTGAACTTATTCTGGACCAAGCCTGAGAGACTTGAGAAGATGAGTAGCTCTGTTCATCTTTTCACCTGTTTTGTTTAGATTGTGTGTGTGTGTGTGTATAGCAGCAATCAAACTGACAAGTCAAAACTGTATGACCGTACCGTGTGAAGGGGGGGAAAAGCTCTTTGAAGTTGAGGTGTTGGTACTGTCAGAAAATGATATTGATGCTAGTTCATTGTTAGTTCATTGTCTTTCCCCGTATCTTAACAATACTTTTGAAGCCTTTATTCTTCAGCAGTAAATATGCAGTGCAGTGTGCAATATTCAGTATATGAAACAAAGTTCTTTGTGCTGGGAATTCCAATTCTTCACAGACAGTCCCAGTCTTCAAAGCAGGTTAGACCAAAATAAATAACAAAATGAAACAGAAAAAAAACAAATGTATATTTGAAAAAAGAAGCCCCCCAAAAAATATTGGTCACTGAAAGTGATATTATATTTTCTGTAGTAGCTTTTGTATTATATTTTCCTAAATAGTTCTTGATTAAAAGCAAATAGAGGAGTATATGAAAATGAGGCCAGGCTAATTTTGTTTGGGAGAATTCTGGCATTTGTCCCTAACTGTCATGCTGTGCCTTGACTTGTCGTATCCCTGTTCTTTTCCCAATCTCTTTCATACATCCCTCCAACCCTGCTCAAAACCACAACCTGCTAGCCCTCCGCAACTTCCATCCTCAGAATAGACTCTTCCTTGTCCTTTTGATGAGACATTTTGGTTAGTTACCTCTGACCTCCATCTTTTTTTTATATATTTTTTTTATTCCTCAAAAATGTGCTTTCCATTCTGCCATGCAACATCATCCACTGGTCATCTTCTCTTGTGGCAGCTCGTCTTACCCCATTGAAAAGCGTTATCTAATCAACTCTGCCCTTGAGGCTCTTTTCATAGTTTTTTTTAAGCTTCATAGTAGCCGTCTTGTTATAGTCCTTATGCCTATGATGTGTTTTGTATTTCAAACAATGAAGTGGAAGACCTTGGGAGAAGAGCAGTGGAATCAATCATTAATGGCAGCTCGAGTCCTCCCCACACTCTCCCAATGGTAGTTCCTGTTTAGTGTTAAAGTGTGCTTAAGGCAATCATAGTATTTGATCCTCTGCCCATAAGAGAAAAGATACAGGAATATGATTATTTTGTTTGTTAAGGGTTGGGGTGTATTAGAAAGCAGCACTGTTTCAATATTATGGTGCATATTGTGACCAACACATTGAGTTTAATCTCTCCATTCTCTGCAAACACTGAAAGGAGTATGGAAGCCCATTATCTCCATGGAATAATAAATAATAATAATAATAATAATTAAACAAATTGAAAACAATAAAAAAAAGGTAATTGTGACTTTTTATCTCACAGTTTGGACTTTATTTCTCTGTAGATAGCCTATAAACTCATAATTCTGACTTTTACACAGTTGTCAGTGTAAACTGAATTCTGAGTTTTTTCCCCCAGCCACAGAATTAAAAAAAGGAGGAAAAAAACACGTCTTTTTATATCACAATTCGGATGTTTTTTCTTGTAATTGTGAGTTTATATCTCACAATTTTGACATTTCTTCGTGGAGTTTTATATATTACTTTATAATATATATTAAAACATTAAAATGAGATATAAACTCAGAATTGCAAAATAATTTTTTTTTTGTAGTGGCAGACACGGGCTTCCAGAGGAGGGAGTATATTTTTATATTATTTTGTTTAGTTTTGTTTTTTAAAGCTACATTTTAAAGAAGCGTTTACATTTATGTCATGGATATACCTGACTGTTGTAGCAAAACTATTCTTTTTGAGTGTGTTTCAGTATGTTGATCAAGTGACTTGTTAAATTAAAAAACCTCTCGCACAGAACCTCCCATTAACATGCTTTGATTGAAAGTTCAGAGAATTAGACATGAGAATTTATAACATCTCTAAGAGAATGTAGCTTTCATTGGCATTATCTAAGAAATAATTTGTGACAGATACAGGGCTATTCAGTGGCTGGGACTTTAAAACACTAAAATGAGGGTATGTCAGCAGACAGGCACAGATATAATTATGTGGAAAGTGCCAGGTGTCCAAGGATTTTAAATGTGTGCCATCACTCAGAGGAGAAAAAAAACAGACCAGGAAGAAACAAGTGATACTTTGTGTTTTTCTGCAGAGCATGTACGATTGAGAATAGTCAGTGCAGCAGGAAAGCTAGATAGGATAAAGACAGGCAGTGAAGGCTACTAAAAAAGACCAGAGTGACCAAGAAAACGATATAGCTATATAAAAATTCCTTTTACCTTTGTTATTCACATAAAAGCACTAGAAGAGAGAAAGAAAAAGATTCCTGCCGTATATATTCTTTTAAATACAGACTTTTATTTTTCTAACCCCTCCCAATTTTTGGAGACATCAGGTGTAATATCAGATTTATCTTTATATGACTAGATTTGTGACCCATATTTTCTGCTCACTTTGCCTCTCCCCTGCTTTTGTTTGTTTTGTGTTCATGGAGCAGTTTGTTGACAGGTCAGCGTGTGTGGCATAGCTCACCGAACGCTTGCGTTTTAGCATGAGGGAAACCGTTGTGGAAAAGAGGAGACTGCGAAAGGGAGGGTTCTGTGCCAGAAACCTGTGAACAGATTTCCTTTTAGAAAACAAGTCAGATGTTGTATAATATTGTAAAGGTGTTATTTTTTTTCTTTGTGTGTGTGTCCATACACATATTTACCTGGTGCTGGCTATGTTTGAGCCCACACTCTAAGGTATTATGTATTCTTGTATTGTAATATAAATAATTAAAATGTTTTATACATACTGGCTCTCCAGAGTCATTATTTGTAACTATCTTTGTAAAAGAAAGAAAAAAAAGAAGAAATATATGTTTGTAGTGTAGATCGTTGTTTTTCTAGCCCAGTACCAATCTCCATAATGTGGAAAAAATATTTTGTAACACTGTAAATAAAACTAAGGTAATTTTACAAGAAAATACTATTTAAAATCTACTTCGAAATTTCACATTAAATTAAATGTGCTACTTGCTGCTTCTTTGTAAGTATTTGTGAAATTTACTAGCAATTTCTGAGTAAATCCTACACCAACTTATTTTTTCAGTGTGATTGGGTCTTCATTTTTATGAACTAAACTTAGTTTGAAAAAAAAATGGCACAAGGGAGTGGAATAAGCTCACATTAAAATCCACAAACATATGTATTTATTCAGACTGTAAACTTTGCTTGATCTGTGCATATTGCTCTCCAGATTCAGATGACTTTTTCACTGGAGGAAGGAACATTTGAAGTTAATGAATTTGTTTATCCAAACATGCTTGATTGTATAGATTACTAGATTTGTGTATTATTATGATGTTTTTATCAGCTGTTTGGACTCTCATTCTGACGGCACCAGTACATACTTTGTGACGGCAAAGTAAAAGTAAAAGTACCATTACCTTCCAAAAAATGTAGTGTGCGTAGAGTAAAAGTACTTGTCCAAAAAACTACTTGAGTAAGAGTAAAAGAGTAGCCTATTTAAAAATACTCATGAGTTTTGAGTAGTGAGTACTGAGCTGTGGATTCTACCCCCTCATAATAAACGCTGTACACCGCAATTGATACATTTTAAAAACGTTGTACATTCTGTAATTCACATTACCTTGTTTGTCATAAAGAATGAAGAATATCTATCATCCAGCAGTTTTAATTTTGACTGCCAACTCTTTAAAATACATCAAACAGCACGGAAACTGTATTCAGTTGAAGAAAAGATGAAAGTTATTCTCAGTACAATCATCCCACTGAGACAGCATGCTGTTGTTGCACATCAAATATTAATGTTTAGAACAGTGCAAATACAAACTTTTTCAAAGGAAAACACACACACACACACACACACGCATGTCTCTTTGCTGAGCCACGGCGGTCTCGGTGAATCAGCAGCATCCACAACTGAATGGAACAAAAAGTGTTGAACTTTTTCAACACTTTGAAAAACTCCTCACAATTGTTTATGCGCGAGTGCACTTGCTAAATGAAGGTGGATTGTATAAAATGGATATTTTATCCACACTTATCCAAGTGACTGCTGCAGAACGAGAGAGAGAGAAGGCAGCACAGATCGCGGGTCTTATAAAGGCGGGCATACACTGTGCGATTTTTGCTGTCAGGCGATTTTTTTTCTCTCTGGAGAAAATCGCAGATGCTCGCATGGTCGCGGCTCGTACCGTGTGAGAAGAATTATGGGCCGATCCGAGACGTTACGAGCACCTCCCGTCCTCCCGATAATTTTCAAACATGTAAAAAAAAATCGGATGCTGTCGGTTTAAATTCGTGGCGTAGGCCTATGTGCAGTTGGCGATCCATCTGAAGTTGACCAATCAGAAGATGACAAAAACCATATAGTCTATAATAATTGTAGTTTAATTATACAGTTCTATTTTTTATTTGTCCCGAATGTGCCAAATTTGCCGTCCAGCTTTATGAATGAATATGCATGTCCGGCAAAACAAGCAGAAATGGCCTACTCCCTCGAGTTCTTTATGAAGAACAGAAAGTTCATGCTTTTCAGCCATTCTCTTTGCCATATCCTTTTTTTTTTGGACGTCACAAGCCGCCTGCCACAAAGAAAACTATTTCGTCCTCAGAATATTTTTATGAATGGCGCGAAACGTAATGCTTACCTCAGAGTTTGTAAAATCGTAGTAAACGTGTCGTGTGTGACTGCCTCCGTACGATTTTCGGATAAACTCAATCGTGACATGTGCCAGAGCTCACGACGTTCCGACCTTCAGAATCGCACCGTGTAACGTTACGCCTGGCTTAAGTGAGTGGGGAATTTACCGAACGTGGCACTTGCGGGAGTTAACACTGTATGCAATACCCGCAACCTCACACCAAATCTCAGGCCATGTAGATAGGCAAGCATATATACAAATCATTTAGTAAGCAGAAATCCTAAATTTACCTTAACATATTAAGTTAGAGGAAGATGCGACTGAATTGATGCTTGAAGAATGCACTTGAAAGTCAGGAGACCTATTACTCTCTATCCAATTAAAATAAGCATGTAACGACCACAAACGGAGGAAGATAGCGGAGTAAAAGTACCGATACATCACTTAAAATGTACTCAACCCAGCAAGCAATAGCCGTCATTTCAATGTCTCGGTTAAGTATAGACCGATATAGTCCGGCTATGTGTAACCCACTTCTAGCCCAAATAACCTTGAATTTGGTTTCATGTCATTTTTTGGCAAAATAACTTGTGAGATGTATGACATTCCATCACATAAGCAAAGTAACAGCGTTTACAAGGTGTTTGGTTTCATTTCTTTGACATGTTCAATACGACGTAGCCTGTGTGTAGCCACGATTTAGCTCTGTAGTCAGAGCGGCTATCTGTAGCCCACTTATAGTCAAACCTGATTCACTGTAGTTTTT